ATCATTATTCAATGCTCGAACGAATGGCAGACATATAATGGTGAATGATGTAATCTGGTGAGTAAAATTGTCCAACACGACACATAAAAAAACAAACCAAAAACTTTTCTTAGTAGCCGATTTAGCAATTGGATCGATAATTATTCACTGAAGCTTTTGAGGACTCTTATGAAGCGAACATCGATAATTCTTGCTCTTAAAAAATAAATGGAATTCATTTTTTTCATCTAGTTCACTATGTTATAAATATTAAATTTGCATCCTTCTTTTTTTCCCCTGAAATATATTTTTTTCATGAAACATGATCGAAATTTTACTCATTATCAAAGGGACTTGAAGAGAAGTAACATTTTTGATCTTCAATACGCTTATCAGACTACACGAAAATCTATTCGTATGCACAAAGAAGTGTGCATTTTTGACACCGGTTCTTCTTTGAAATGTGCGAAACTAGTTTTTAATAGCAACAAACAAAACAACAACAGCATACAACAACAACAACAACAACAACAATAATAATACATCAATAATTCCAGTTTTAGCTGGAGCCCTCGTTTGAACGGAAGAGGTTCTCATGGCCTCATTACGGGTACCTCTGTTAGCCCATGCCTTAACGAAATACAAATGATTGTACTCGCAAGTACAGCTCACAACTTACGTTGATTTATTTCTTTGACAAAAATACTTCGTGAAAATGACAAGATACTATATCTGAATTTGGGACTCTCATTGGAACCAAGAAAGAAATGAGTATACAACAGAAATCAAAGGAAAAAAAAGAGATATGACTTTACAATACACACAGTCAAATCAATCAAAGCTAATCGCCCAGACATAGAGATCGAAGACCACAAGACTGCTGCCATATATGGTCTGGAGCCCCTATCTGTTTGCCTCGGGTCTCTTGATAAGCTCCAGAGGCGGATATCCAATATAATTGGGCCTGTTCTGGCATCTCGTCTACAGTCACTTTCTCACAGACGCGCCGTCGCCTCTCTCTGTCTGTTTTACAAATACATTCATGGCAATTTCTTCGAGGAGCTGCATTCGCTGGTTTCCAGACTTCATGAGTTCAAGCGCCCTACGAGGCTGACATCCCGCTCTCACCCCTTCACTGTCGAAACTACTAAATGTAGGCGTCTCTTCTACTCCAATAGCTTCATGTCTCGCACCTCTCGCCTGTGGAACGCCCTTCCCTATTCCAGTTTCCCTGAGAGCTATAATCTCCAACTATTCAAATGTAATGTCAATCGATATCTCCAGTTGCATTGATCTATCCATTATCCTTCTCCTTATCCTTTGCTCTATCACCCCTATCTGATCTTGCTCCAAATCTTCTGTAACCCCTTGCGTCCTAGTGGCTCCCCGCTCTGCTTGGGGTGAAACGCTTTAAAAAAAAAAAGAAGAAAAAAAAAGTGAATGTACTTTCTCATTGACATAGCTCTTCCCTGCAGATTGTAATGTATTACTGAAAATCTACAAAAAAAAAAACTATCAAAAGCATCTTGAAACAAAAATCTAAAAATATGTGGCACCTGTGGATAATTTTCACGACGGGATCTTAATCAGACTATCGACCTTTCAGCCGACTCTCGTAAATAATGTGATATTCTAATAATACTGATAATTTCTCATTCCAGAAATTGAGACAGAAAAAAATTCATATTGGATTAGTATCTACAGAGATTGAATCCATCTGTTAAAGCCCCACTGACTTTAATACTCTTACTACTAAAAAAAAAAAAACTTCAACACATCAAATATTTTCAGAATTCATCATGATACGATCATAAAATTTGAATAATTTTACTGCTTAAAATATCTCTCCAAAAATATTAAAAGTCTCTACTGTTGACCTCAACATCTGGTTGGGAATTTCCATGAATGATCCAACATCTACTAAATCCAACCAATGTAGCTCTATACTCATAACGTAAAAACGAATCTTGAGAATAAAATATTTTCATGTACTTCGTTCAACTCACAACTTTCTCTGAGAGATGTTTACTAAAATGTGAATGGTCTGATAACTTTAACCAGTATTTTAATGCCTACATCATTTTTCAAGCGACTATTCTTCAGTTAATCCAATTTTCTCGCTTATTAGGTTTTCATTTTTCTAAAATCCTTTGTTGTGGTAATCTTAAAATCTGTTTTCTTTGTTCTTTTCCCAAAATTTTTTTTCAGACTTAAAGTTTTCTTACGACCTATGTTCGTCTTGATGAAATGATAAACTAGATATAAACAACTATGCGATGATATATATATATATATATATATATATATATATATATATATATATATATATATATATATATATATATATATCATCGTTTTCACTCTCGCGTGATCATGTGTGATGTCATGAGCCGCGGTACGATTTTCGCTTCCGGCGTCTGGTATGGACGAATTTTTCGTTTTGGAAATCTTCTATGCAAACAAAAACAGGCTATCGTTATTGATAGGATTAAAAACATGTATCAATATGGTGATTTTCTTTCGTCTTTAAATGATACTGTTATTAAGTTTATCAGACGATATGAAAGGAATTTGCATAAAATAAATAGACAAAACTAGTCTATTTTATTCAATGAAACATGCATCAATATATATATATATATATATATATATATATATATATATATATATAGATAGATAGATAGATAGATAGATAGATAATATTAGTGGTAAATATACACATATATATGCAAAATATATAGATATATACATAGGTACATACACATATATGTATTTTTGAATAAAAAAATTCGAGAGGATAGAATCCAGGTAGAACTCAATGTCCAGGACAGGTATATATATATATATATATATATATATATATATATATATATATATATATATGTGTGTGTGTGTGTGTGTGTATATCTATATATATATATATAATTACAAACAAGATGAAATTAGAAATAAGAACATTGTAAAAATGCACAACACCAGTAAACTTTAGTAAAAAAAAAATAGACTAATTATTTATTACAAAAAATTTAAAACCGCTAGCCTTATAGTTAAAAATAATAATTCACCTCTTAGAACAAAATTAAATAGAACAAATATTATTCAGTAATTTAAATGCCAAATTAAAGAATTGTATTCCTGATTCACACTAAAACATGTTTAACAAGAAGACTCACACTACATCTTTCTGACCATAGCTTAATTAGATCTCATTTAAATACTGATGGAAATCTACTGGACGGTGATTCACAACATACATGTTGATAACACAAATATAATACATCGTCTATATGTGAAAAAGCTAAAAAATGGAAGCCTTATTAATAAAAAAAAACAAATAAAAAGAACACTCAATTATATCAACTATGAACACGGACACAATATCTTGACCGTGTTTTGAAAATGAAAACATTATATAAATATACATACAGCAATCTATTTCTTGTTAACAGTTAATATATTTCAAATTGCGTAATGGTTAAATGTAAAGCCGAAAGCGCTCATAAAATAAGAACAGTTGGTCAGTTTTTTATATCCAACGAAAAGAAAAAAATATAAAATCACATGAGAAATTGTATAAAAACTAAATAAAAACACCTTTTCTGTCATATTCAATGAAAATATATATATATATATATATATATATATATATATATATATATGTATTAGAGCAGCAGATCATTATTCAAACATATATTGTTAAATATAACAGACGACGAATGTCTATTATTTTTGATCATGAGCCGTTCTAAGCTTTGGATAGTGGCTTTAATTTCGGGAGAAAATAAAGACAAAAATTTCAATATTTGGATATCTTTTTTATTATACCATTCTTCGATCTAACCTTTCATGAGAGTGGTTATATGAGAATTACAACAGAGATGCTTACCATTAAATATGATATCCTCCTATGTTTATGTCATCGTCGCATAGAAAACTTCTATGTTGACTTAACAGGACGTCGTCTTTGGCTACAACCCCCTTGATTATTATGTGTGGGGTGCAGTTGATCGATAGACCAACAAAATTACTTATAAAATCAAAGATGAACTGAAGGCAATGATTATGTCAGCGTTCTTCAACTTAAAAACGGAGATCGTCCAGCAGAGCTGAATAAGATTCCGAAGTTCTCTGGAGGCCGTGGTAGTTGAAGTCAATGGTGATTTTACTGAATAAATTTATCTTAAGTATTTCAAGATATTTTTAAGTAATTTTGGTAAATATATCTGTTAAATTGAGATATCAGTGTTGCTTTCATTTTTGCGTAATATATATATATATATATATATATATATATATACCCCATCCCTCAATTATGGGGTGTATAGCCTGATACGAGTGAATTGCATCATGGTGCTCTTTTTCTCACAGACAATGCCCAATTGACCCTAGTATACTGTGCAGTCGACAAAATCAAAAAACAAACAAACAAAAAAATAAAACATAAAAAAACAACGCGAATGCACCAAATTAAAAATATAAAATGGCTACAATTTACCTATCACACCCTGTACATAAATTAATCCATACATTTATTTAAAAGTAAAAATAAAATCCATTCTTGCTAATGGCTAAAAGTATGTCTACAATATCTTCATTTACGAAGAGATGCTCAGGTGTTGAACTCGTTAAAATTATATGTTAAAGATGGAATTAATTTGCATAATAATATTGATCAGTCTTTTGCTTTTTGCCATTTAGTTATATAGATATTTATTAGTATATCTATATTATGACGTTGTTCCCAATGTAATGTCCAGTAACTTGCCTTTAACTATATTTTTAAGCAACTAAACCCATGCTCAGCATCCACGTTCGCCTTGTATACAATTTTACCTTTAGACATTCTCCATGAAGTGGGCACTTACTCTTATTTTTGCAGTTACATATAAATTTATGTTTCAGTATTTTTTGTTTTAGTATTTTTTATTATATCCTTTAAGTTTTTGATCACATTGGCCATGCAACGATAGGGTTCATTTTATTGTGCTTTTATCCGACGTTGACGGTTTTTGGAATAGTCTATGCTAGGTACCTCCAGTTGTTCGCTGAAAAACAACATACCATAATGAAAAAAGGCTCCAAGCTTAATAAAAACGAAGTTTTATCGTCAAAATGTTTGTGTAACTATTAAGAGGAAAAACCAAAGTATTTTTTTATTAAATTTTTTAATCCTTTCTCGCACGTTCCAATTTTTGGTTTAACATTTTTTTTTATGTCAGTGGTTGATTTACGTTTTTGTGCCTTTTTTTCAGAAATTTTTGTAAAAATCGGACAATGGTCGAATTTTAATGAAATTTTCAGGAATTATTCAAAAATAACTTATGAAGGAAATTATTTTTAAAATTTTGGCGTTTTTTTTACATATGTTTTCCCAAAATTATTTAATGTTATGAAATTTCGAGAAATTAAATTTTCTTTCCAGAATTTTTTGTAATTACTTTTATAAATAAGATTTATTAAGGACCCTATTCTTTTAAGAGAAAAAAAATCGATGAATACTGAATTTTTACAAGAATTGTTTCCATATATTTTTTTAAAAATTTTAATTGTAATATTTTTTTGCTTAAAATTTTGCATTATTTTCTTCCTATTAGATGATGGTGTTATTAAGTAAAAAAAAAAACTTGAAAAACTTAATAAAAAGTATTATACACCAAGATTTCTAAAATTATTTTTTTTTTTTTTTATGTATATAAAATATTACGTAACGTGCCACTGTTTATAAGTATGGTTGTCCTTACACGACATTATCAGAAAATAAGAGCGATGTCTATAGTAAATTTAAAGTAAACATTCTTTAAATTAGGTTACGGAGAATATTTTCCAAAAGTTTTAAGATTACTGAGTACTTTAAAATTATATAAAAAAGGTTCTCACGCGTCATTTTCTTAAATTATGCTTTAACGTATATTGTCTACATAGAACAACAAATAAATCTCCCAACACTTTACAGCAATTGTGACTGATAGGCGAAGGCAAGCGCGTAAAGTACCGCTTCTGTTTATTTTAAAAATCCATTTTTCTGTTATTTTCAACTTAAATTAAATAATGTTTCTTTCAAATCAGATTAATTATACTTTGAATCAGCTAATATTCCTCAAATAATATTTCAGATAAGTATATTTTATTTTTGGAAGATTTTTTTTTTAAAACCGAGAATTAACTTTTATTCACAAATGTATCAAAAATCGATATATTTATCGATTGTTATCGGTGTTCAAAAAGCGACAGAAATTGAGATTCTAATCAATATAATTACTATTTGAAATATACCAGAATATTTTGCTTACTAGAAATAGTAAATGTAGTCCTTTAGCTTTCATTTAAACCTAAAAAGAAAGCTTCAAGAATGCTTTTTCATAAAAAAAAATCATTTTAAACCTTAGGTTTCGAAAATTTAGTGGAGGTGCTTAGTTTATGCAATAACCCCCCCCCCAAAAAAAAACAAAAAAAAATTAAAAAAAACACTTTTTAATAATGTTTTTAATAGCAAGGTAAAAGGCTGAGATTATACGTCTCTCTTCTCACTTTACACTGAGGTCAATATTCAAGCAAGCGGATGATAAAGAAAACAAACTAAAGTGAAAAGTCTCATGTTCCAATTCCAAGTTTCGCTGATAGACGTGTCGTTTTCAAAAGAAATCTTCAGAATTTATTAAAAGACATCAACTCTAATTTAAAATACGTTTCATAAGAACTATGTCAAACTTAATGCTTGCAATATTCACAGCTTGATTTCTAGTATCATTCCTCCATAGTCAGCCTGTGAATTTATCAGCCGAGCCTAATAATTTCGAATAGAATCAGCCTATATACAATTATCATTTGTTTTTCAATATGTTTTTTTTTTTAACTAACTTTTTAATTATTTTTATTTTGTGTTTCCCGTTTTCATCTTTGATCTTCAATTTCTTCTCTTTCATTTTCTTTTCTTCCGTCATTTTTTCTTCTCTTCGTTTTCTTTCACTCCGTTTTTTTTTATTCTGAAATGCATCCTTTTAGCTTTTCTTATTTTCATTCATACCGAATTTTACTCTCTTTCATACCGTTTTTTATGTTCCTCTTTTTCTCTGCTTCTCTTCTTTCCTTTCTTCGTCACCCCTAATTTCAACTTTTCGCACATTTTTCTTCTTCTTCTTCTGTTTTATTTTCTTTTTTTCTTTTTTCTTTTTCTTTTTCTTTCTTCTGTTTATTTTTGTTCCTTGTTTCTTTTTTCTTCTGTTTCTTTTTCTCTGTTTCTTTCTTCTTCTGTTTATATTTCTTTCTTTCTTTCTTTTTCTCTTTCTTTTTTCTTTTGTTTCTTTTTCTTCCTTTCTTTTTTATTTTTATTTTTCTTTCTTCTTCTGTTTATTTTTGTTTCTTTCTTCTTGTTTCTTTTTTCTTCTGTTTCTTTTTCTGTTTCTTTCTTTCTTCTTTTGTTTCTTTTTCATTCTTCTTCTGTTTCTCTTCCTGTGTTTCTTTGTTTTTCTTCTGTTTATATTTCTTTCTTTTGTTTCTTTTTCTCTTTATTTCTTTCTTTCTTTGTTTATTTTTCTTTCTTCTGTTTATTTTGCCTTCTTTTTTTCTTTCTTTCTTTCTTTCTTTCTTTCTTTCTTTCTTTCTTTCTTCTTCTTCTTCTTCTTCAAAGTCTAACTTTTTCTTTAACTGCATTTTTTCTTCTTTCATTTCTCATCGTATCATCATTTTCTCTCTTTCCTTCTCTCTTTCCTTCTTCATCAACATCATCTTCCTACGTTTTCTGTTTATTTTTCTTCTTTCATTTACAGCCGCCGCTTTCTTTCTTTATTTCATTTTCTTTATTTCTTCGTTCACATTCATCCACATCCTTTCTTTCGTTTCCTTCCTTCCTTTCTTTCTTTCTTTCTTTCTTTCTTTCGTTTGCCATCTTCTTCCTTTCCTATCTTCTCGTTTATCTACAATTCCAGATTTCTTTTTCTTCTCTATCTTCATCATTTTTCCTTCATCTTTACACGTTTTGTCCTCTTCCTCGTCTTCTTTGTCCTGAAATGCTTCTTATTCTCATTAATGGCAGATAGAGACTCTAATATAATAAATGTTGTTTTCTCGTGGAATAGAAGAGTACTAAGAATGAAAACAAAAAAAGACTGATTCGAAATATAATTTGACTAATGTATTTTGTTGCAATGATTGCAGGTTGTCAGAAACTGCAAATGTTCAGAGTGTCCATTCCATATTTACAACACCGGGGGCGCTTTTGTAGAGCACGCCACGTTGCGTTCCATTTTACCATTTTAATCCAAAGAAAAGAATTGTTTTGTATTTGAATTAGCTTTGCATTTTACCCGTCAAAGTCATTGGAAATCTATCGGTTACAGTGAATATATATATATATATATATATATATATATATATATATATATATATATATATATATATATATTTCTATCATAAATACAAATAAAGTTATAAATTTTTAAAGGGCACACGCACTTTATGGACATTCATATATATATATATATATATATATATATATATATATATATATAGCCGAGGTTGAATTCAGTCGAATCCATTAACGTATTTATACCCTTGGGAAATGCGTGAATCATCTTCTTCTCCCTCCAGATATGGGCAAATAGCAAGACAGACTGGGTCCTATAGATGGCAAGTGGTCTAGGAGAACGACAACTCTGAATTCAAAACCTGCGGAGGGTCGTTTGGGGACCTTGTGGCACGTACTGCACCAGGTCTGTATTCGGCCTTTCAAAAAGTGTGGATGGTTCCGCATAAAAACCTTCACCACTATAATCAAATCTCACCTGCCGGCATCGTAAAATTTTAGTTTCCTAGGAACTGATCTACTGGAGTCAGTATATATATATATATATATATATATATATATATATATATATATATATATATATCGGGTGTAACAGTTAAATTATCAAAATCGTGTAACAGTAAAATTGTCCACTTGTTAGTTTAAGCATCGAGCCGTTCTTTCTTGGAAATGATTAAAGATATCTTAATGGAATCCTCCGAGGTTTTTTTTTTTTTATTGAACTCTCTTATTTGTATGTATCTCTTTAAATCTTACTCCTAATTTTGTTTACCTATTCCCTTTTTTTTCTTGGTACTAATTCTTTTTTTTTCCATTTTTTTTCCTTCTTTTTTAATTGAAGTGAATTAAGTTTTCCTCTTTTTTGAAAACTTCATTTGAATCTGAGTTCTTTGAATTTTTTCTTCATCTGACTCATGCATGCGTTGAACATTATCTTAATTCCTGGCTAACAGACGTGGATTGTTCGGCTTCAATAAGAAGTGTATGTTGGCTCTTCAACCAAGTTGAAGCTTTATATTTCAATTTCAACTCTCAGTGACACGCACGTTGTTCAAGTATATTTCCTGTTTGTCTTTTTGTTTTTTGTCTTAGGTTTATTATTTACTAGCAGTAGAGCCCGGCGTTGCCCGGGGATGTAACAGTAAGAGATAGATCAAGTATCGACCATCATAAAGACTGAAAAATAAAATTCACAAAGATTATTGTTTAACGTTGACGGACACGCATGTCTTAATTATTTTTTTTTTTTTTTTTTTTTACGAATTGGTCAAACCCAAACTCAAACAAAAACATTGTTTTCAATCGTTATGGATCTACCGATTGAATACAATTTTATTATAAACAATTGTCTTGTAAATGGGATTTTTAAAGCATTCTAAATATAAAAAATAAAGAAAAAAGTGTGCAAGACAATAAGAAACACTACCTTACAGGTGAAGTTTTGTTGAAATCGGTTGAAAAATGTAGGAAATCTGATCCCATATATAAACGAACACACACACACACACACACACACACTCACTCACACACACACAACCTGGGTTTTATAATAAGTATAACTCGATATGAGTTTCCCCCTTTCATTCTGGCGACAGAATCGTGTTTTAAAATTGATTTTGTGTTTTCTCCCAATTTTTGGCGCTGTCAGAACCACCGCAATGTAATTTTACGCAGTTCTGTGAAGTTTTGTTGAAATCAGTTGAAAAATGTAGGAAATCCGATCCAATATATAAACGTACACACACACACACACACACACAATCTGCGTTTTATAATAAGTAATATGTGTGTACGTAATAGTAGATAAGCTTTCCTATCGCCCGGTCGATACTCCTCACCTTTCTCTTGAACAGGAGTAGAGGCTCATCCCTTGTTTCCTGCTTAGAAAGGGGTTCCCGGATCTTTACATTCTGTCTGGCCTCCGTATTAGTGCTGTCATGAACTCTTGTGATGTGTGCGGTCTGTAGCAACGTCTCTTCATACAGAGTGTACCGGGTTGACAGTTTTCTTAATTCTGTAGTTAGGAGCCCGAACTCTTGCGTATAAAAATATATAAAACCCATTTCGTTTTTTTATGAACAGTATATACATATTACTAGAATGACTCTTAATTAATTTATGCTTAAATATAGTGATTTACTAAGCATAGATTAATTGTCGCACTATGCCGAGAGGATCACCCAGCTTGTTAAACATTACACCAGATCGAAGACCCCAATTTATGGTTAAATATATTGTGAATTAAGTATTAATATTATTGAACCTTAGTCAATCAATGTGCACTGTAAAATCTCGTATTAATAGTAAATTAATTAAATTAAAATTCAGTATTTATTTTTAATACTTAATAGTTATCGGTTTATAAAAATCCGTTCTGAATAATACGTTTTTTTTAAAAACTCGGCACTAATTGATAGCTGCTAGATAGATGAGGTCGAAAAAATTGTTTACAGGTTCTTTAAATAGGTCCTATAAAATACAAAATCGCTTTTTCTAATGTTCGCTTAAAGATAGAGAAGACAAAAAAGGAAAGAATGTTTTTTTTCAATTTCCATTTTCAAAGGATGAATTGGTTAACAGCTTATCGAAGAAGAATTTTTATCAGATAAAGTGTCTGAGAATCTTTCTTTCAGGCAACATTTCGTCCAATCAATAGTGCCTGCATCTTGGAAATTTCTTTCAATAAACAATTCTGTTTAACTATGTAAATGTCAAGTCTGTGTAGAGATGATTTTTTCTTTTGTCAACAACGTGTAATGATGGGATTTGCACACACACCCTTATTTATCACAATTTCGATATGATATTAACACGGTTATTTTTTCAGTTGGAAGGAAATTTGTATGAGGATCACACTAGATAGAGAGTAGCAGACACTAAGACCCGAGAGGTTGCTGAGAGTAAAGGAAACTGAGGAAACTAGGAGAAAGAACATAACTGAAGACGACAGAGACTGTCTTTAATCATTTTACGGGGTTTAATGAGAGCGAAGGAAACTGAGGAAACTAGCAGAAAGAATATAACTGAAAACGACAGAGACTGTCGTTAATCATTTTACGGAGTTTACTGAGAGCGAAGGACACTGAGGAAACTAGCAGAAAGAATATAACTGAAGACGACAGAGACTGTCTTTAATCATTTTACGGGGTTTACTGAGAGTGAAGGAGACTAAGGAAACTAGGAGAAAGAACATAACTGAAGATGACAGAGACTGTCGTTAATCATTTTACGGGGTTTACTGAGAGCGAAGGACACTGAGGAAACTAGCAGAAAGAATATAACTGAAGACGACAGAAACTGTCGTTAATCATTTTACGGAGTTTACTGAGAGCGAAGGACACTGAGGAAACTAGCAGAAAGAACATAACTGAAGACGACAGAGACTGTCTTTAATCATTTCACGGAGTTTACTGAGAATGAAGGAAACTGAGGAAACTAAGAGAAAGAACATAACTGAAGACGACAGAGACGGTCTTTAATCATTTTACGGGGTTTACTGAGAGTGAAGGATTTTGAAAAAAAAAAAAAACGTTACAGAGTAAAAAGGACAATAAAAAGAACAGATTTCTAGGATAAGGAGTTTTTAATCATTTCATCCCAAGCAAAGCAATAAAGCCACTAAGATTCAAGGGGTTTTCTGAGAGTGAAGAAAACTGAGGAAACTAGGAGAAAGTCTTTTTTTTATCATTTCATCCCAAGAAAGGCAATAAAGTCTCTAAGATGCAAAGGGTTACTGAGAGTGAAGGAAACTGAGAAAAAGTTGCTGAGGAGAAAGGACAATAACAAGAATAGGATTCAAGGGGAGAGAAGATTTTTTTTTTAAAATCATTTCAGTCCAAGCAAGGCAATAAAGCCTCTAAGACGCAAGCGTTTTACCGAAAGTGAAGGAAACTGAAACATTACTGAGTAGAAAGGACAATAAAAAAGAACAGGATTGTAGGAGACAAAAGGTGTTTTAATCATTTCATCCCAAGCAAGGCAATAAACCCACTAAGATCCAAGAGGTTTACTGAGAGTAAAGTAAACTGGGAAAACGTTCTTTGATGAACCTAGTCTAAAGGAAAAAAAAGTAAATCTGAAAAAAGCTCCATGAGAAATAATTGCGAAATGAAATTATCAGTAAATAACTTATGGTTAAAGCTAGCAAATACATCTGCAAAATGATGAGATACTGTTGTCAACCTGGTAATATATGAAATTCGTTAATTCGAATTACCTGAAGAGTAAAATCACATCAATCGCCATGCAACTATTTATAGAAATTGGGAGATGTCGAAAATGACGTTAAGCTTGTTAACCGAGGCAAAAAATTTCTTATCATCTGAGAGAACCCCCTCTCTACCTTCCATCAGAATGGCTGATGCTAACCTCCAAGAAAGAAACTAGTTTCGACTTCTTGGGTTAAAGTGCTCAGCTGACACGAAGAGGAAAGCTATATTGAATACATTGCTAGGTCAGCTGCTAAGAAAGTTGTTCTATGCGTCGTGTCAGACAATTCTTCTATCTTGCATATATATATATATATATATACTCTTGTTCAAATTAATTAAAACAACCGCTATAGTTTCCCTCTCTTTCATCTTACGGTAAATTTTAGACCCACTGGAGTGACAGGTTGTATCCGATTTCTATTTTTTCAGATTAGGTCATTTGCAGTGGTGAGCTGTAATAGGAATGTATTTCCGGGGTGTTTTGATAATATT